ATGTAAAAATCTCAAATTGGGCGATTGAGGGGCAAAATGAAAACCAATTTTCATTCTGTGTTCAGTAATTTATGATCAGAAGTGAAAAACAAATTACATAGATCCACGGTCAATATTTACTGGCCCCTGCTGACAAAGCAGGTAACAACACTGTCTTCGTTGCAAAGCTCATTATATAAATTGTATTTTAGAAGAACTGCGATTTAATTTTACTGGTGGTAATCCAACTTATACCCATAGCTCCCTATCTAAGGAGGAAATTCTTCGAACTCATATATGTCAGTTTTGAATATTTTTTTATATCCCTAACAACCAGAATGAATTTGAATCGCCATATCTATATTGGATTCAAAACTTTACAAAAATCCTTTCAAAGAGTTCTACAGAGCCTCTTTCTTTACCCCTCATAACGATTATTTTATTTGTGCTAAATGTGTTTTTATATTATAAGTCGGTAAAAAAAGCTTTAAAGATCATGTTTTTTTGTTATATGTATTTTGTCCGGCTATAAATAAAATTTACTTACTTACTTACGATATTAACAGTAATGAAGGAGAAACTTCAGGATCACTGTGCAACAAAATATTCGAGAAGTGGTGTAAATCAGCTGTGGATACTTAAAATTTCCAAGGAACTTTCGGAAAATTTGAAATCACAGTGTTTCAAATTCAACAGCATAAATACTTACGACTTTCCAACTTTAGACAACTATTCCCCGCGATAAATTAAAGTCCAAGCTTTCTGACATCATTGACAGCTGCCTTTTCAATAAAAATGGAACTCGTAAATTTACTTGTTACCATGCCATTGGTCATGTTCAAAATTATTTTGTTAAAAAACATTCTGATTGTACACACAAGTACTCTGAAGATGATATTAAAAAGATGCTTGGGTTTCTGATTGACAATTTTAATGTAGGTTTTGGAGATCAGGTCTTCCAACAATTTATTTGAATTCCCATGGATAACAACTGCGCCCCGTTATTAGCAGACCTATTTTTGTATTCATATGAAGTAGAATTTGTCAAATATCTTATTCTTGAAAAGAAGAAAACACTTGGTTTGGCCTCCAGCTCGACATTTTGGATTTTCAATTAACAGTGGTTATTTCCATTCTTATGTAGATACGGTATATTCCGGAGAGGTTGAAATAAAAGATACCACAGATTCTATACATCTGTTTAAAATTTAGATAATTTACTTTAAAAAGACGTATATGGTAACCTAACAATCAAGCTTTATGATAAACGTGATGACTTTCACTTTTCAATCGTCAGCTTCCCTTACTTACACAACAATATACCTTCATAGCCGACATAAGTGGTTTATATCTCTCAACTAATTCAATACCCGAGAGCATAAACGAGGTAAATTATTGGCAAACAAGTTGCTGAAACAAAAATATCAGGAGTCTCGTTTCAATCACAGGCACCTGACGTTACCTTTTTTTTCTAATAAAAATAATATACTCCCTACCTTATAATTATGAGGTAGCCGTAGGGGGTATATTTTTTATTAAAATAAATATAAGTAACGTCAGGTGCCAGTGGTTTGAAGGCATCATTTCGTCCGTTCTTTGGTGATACAATAAGCTTGTCAGCAAATACAATTTATCATTAAGTCACTTGCTGACTGACGTTTTTCATACTAATTGTTAGTCCACTATTCACACACTAAATTGACGACATATTTTTTCCCGTTATATCCCGATCATGACAAGGAGGACACGGAGGCTGTGACCGGTCGGCAGGGGTGCTCCTTCCTCCACGACCTCTGATTCCACCTCTGATGTTTTGGAGGTCCGTGTTTGCTCTGCTCCAATTTTGTATTGTTAAATGGACTTTTGATCTTAAATTTTCAACAATTCAACAGTGATCCAACGCTTCTTGAATATGTTGAGGCATAGAAGATTTTTTTTCACGAGAGTAAAAGTTTCCTGACCATGGTTGAAGTTTTACTAGTAGATTAAGACCCTTCAACGTATTCTTGGTTGCAGGGATTTTTTATGATTTTTTTCCAAACCAATTCCAGTTATGATAACGATCAGAATCATTCTCCTTAACAGGGATCTTAAACTATGATTGAAAGGTGAATTTTACAATCTCTTATCCCTATCAGTCTGAAGAAAGATGAATAGGTGTTACTCATTTTACCTTTTTTATTGTTTATAGCAAAGGTGAATTTTAGGATACCCAATACAAATTTGTGAAGAAGACCCATAGAAATTCCAGAGGTGGGATCAGGTGTATAAAAGTAGAAAGCGTCCCCTGTTCACTGGTCACATCGTAAGCCCTGTGTTCATGTATTACACAATCACCTGCGCATGCTGTTTATAACTCCCAATGGAATTGATACAGAGGATGTTCCAAAAACGATCATTTTTTTTAAGGGAAGCAATACTAAGGGGTTTATAACAACCAAATTTTATAAAATTTGACTTTAAACGAGGTTGATGAAATCTCCGTAACATCAATCAATTTATCAGCAGCCTGACTCAGTCCAAAAATTGATCATGCTCTTGAGTATCAAATAAAACATCGGGAGACTTAAACCCTATATGCAGATCTAGGTGATAGCCAATTTTTAATGACTTTATGAGAAAGTTAATGCTGAAAAAGTTATAGATCCTTTGACTTCGGCTCATGACGCATGACCTTGAATAAAGTTTATTACACATTAAGGACAAGGGTAACCATAGTATTAATTTTTTTCAGTAATTTAAGCGTTTTGAAATTGTAGTCTGAACATTATATCCTACACCCCAGAGATCCATAGTTATTTACCTAGACACAATTTTTAAATTACATTCAAGGGTGCGTATCATTACCGCTACATTTTCAAAATTTTCATTACCGCTACATAGTCATTACCGCTACAAAAACAAATTACATTACCGCTACATATAAAAGTATACATTACCGCTACATAGACTTTTTCGTTAGCCAGACACTTGAATGTGTAGAGATTGATGTAAAGTACAACAATATTCAAATATTTGATTTTGAAGCAGTTTATGCTTACATTGCAGCAACCTAACGTTTTATTTGACACTGTCATATATTTTACATGTATCTGTCAACATTGCTAAAAATTAGAATGAGAACTGTAAAATATCGTGCTGAATTCTTTGTGAAAGCTTTGTGATTGGAACTCATATTCCATACCTGGCTGATTCCATATGTAGCGTAATGAGTTGTTTTCGACCAAAAAAAAATGTAGCGGTAATGATCGGTCGAAAATTTGGAAAAATGTTGCGGTAATGAGTTGAACTAGAGGTACTGTGAGCAACGAGCTCACTAAATGATACCCCCTGCTTCCCATATGAATATAATGGCAGCATCCATGTTTTGCTATGGGAAACCCAAATATGTGTCAGATCAAAAGTACAATAGGAGGTGCACAATGGCAATATGTAATAAAGATTCTATGAAAGTTTCATCAAATTTCATTCAGTGGTTTGATAGGAGTTGCGGATAAGAGATGGGTACCCCAAAGCGTAACAGACAGACGGACATACAGACAGATGGATGGACATACCGATTATTATATACCCTCCCGCTTTTCAAGCGGGGTTTTAAATATTTAGCGATGTAGCGGTAATGTTGACCTCATATGTTTGAATCATAGGTGCTTGGTTACAGGATTAGGCCTTTCAACTGCCGCTAGGGGTCGGTGTTATGAACGATAACTCACTGCTGAAACTTGTTTAGAGCAGGCTCGGGGTATCTAACTGTTTACACGCAAGGCAGTTTTTAGCATTTCCCAAGTATTTCTTTGCTCTCAGTAGAATCCAGTGGTTTTAAAATTTAGCACCAATGTTAAACTTATTAACTGTGTAGTTGCGGACACCGGTTTACTGCATATAATTAAAATTTTTAATTAAAACAAAAAGTGAAATCTACCCTCCTTCTCAGTTCTAACCTATTTAAATTTTTATACTCGGTCGTTCCCCTTCGTGCTTAGTAACACAAATAAGATGATCAATTGTTGCATTTACTTGTAAAAATATATATATTTACAAAGGAAGCGAAAAAGAGCGAACACAAAAAACATTATATTAAATTTTCTTCTTCATAATAATCGTCAAAGAGGGTTAAAACTATTGAATATAGTCTGTTCCCCATTCATTTGACCCTGTTATTTCAGGTAGAGTGAAGGCATTCTCTTTCTCTTGGTCAAAACTTTTTGTGTACAAAACAATGTAAGGAACCGTTTTGTGTATATAACAATACCAATGCTGAAGCAGCCTATATGTCATTTTTATAAACGATAACTCATAAATCAGCACTAAGTTGGTCATTTTACACACCTGAGTTACCTGTCCTTAAACACAACATCGGAAAAGTCAATTATAAATGATTAAACTTTTTAATGTGGTAATTAAAAGTATGCATAAGATATTATCTTTTTTGATAATTTTATGTACCTATAAATCTATCTATACAATGTTTTTTACCATATGTACAACTTGAAAAATTAGTTGAAAGGCCTAACAGGATGGTGTATTTTGTGTATTATGTGTTTTTCTATGTATGTCTGAATACCCTCATTAAAATAAAAATAAAAATTTGCCGAAATTAGCATGTTTTAAAAAATGTCATATTTAAAACCTTCTTTTTATATACAGTAAATATGACATTTTTTAAGACGTGCTAATTTCGGCGAATTTTTATTTTTATTTTAATGAAGGTATTCAGGCACACATAGAAAAACACATAATACACAAAATACACCATCCTGTAACCAAGCGCCTATGATTAATGATAAGAAAACATCATTGGTTGCAAACTATAGTACGCAGCAGCATACCTAAAGTTTTAATTTTAGAATCTGTCAATTAAGAGTTCAAACAATTTATTCTACAATCAAATATCCTGCTATGGACTCATTACAATTTTGTTATATTAAGAGGGGTAGTCAGACTTTCTTATATTTTGAGTTTGCTACAAATTTTAGAAAATACATGTAAAATTCAATCACAATCAAATACAAAGCACTCTCTTCTGTAGTGTATCATTTTATTATTTATTTCTAACAGATGTGGAACAATGCAAATCTAATTTAACATTAAAAAAGGCATTTCAGTTTTTTAGTTGGGTGGCCAAGTCCACTGATTCTTTGGTGCCTCTCCTACTAATGGTTCCCATGGTTTCCACTTTAACATATTCCTAGATAACATAAGCTCTCTTTCTGCAGAAAGCAGAGACTCCTCAACATGAGTATCTCCCAACTTTGCTTCCAACTCTTTAACATCCTCTATTGATTTTACAAGGGCGAGCTTTTGACGGTACATTGGTTCAGTATGCTGGCGATACACACTTTGTGCTGGAAGTTTGACGAGAGTTTGTAAAAGTTTATCATATATTATTGTTAACCTCTTTTGAGGGTGATCCACTTTCATCATACCAGTCAGGCCAGTGCCTACTTTCCTCATGTATGGGTATGCCATCTCCCTGCTAGGAAGGTTGCCTGCCTCAGGTAGCTTTAAATTAAAAATGAAATTTGTGTCTATTATCACGTCTAAATTAATTACTTTATCTTCTAACAACATGAACACATGTACAATAACACTGAAATTTGAATAACATTCAAAGTTCAAGAACTGATATGAAATTAACCATTCCAGTTTTGTGGACTAGCTGGGTTTATTTATGAAGCAGAGTGGAGTTGTCATTGTTTGATAAAAGGGGGGGGTATACCTTCAGCTGCTATATAAATCCTCACTTTTTTCTTATACACCTGTATCTCAAAATTGTGCATCATCTCATGCAAATTCATGTGCTATAAATTGGCTCAATCGGTTTGTTTTACATTAATTGTGCGCAAATCTGCTAAAGTTCTGTCATCCCTAATATAATCCTAGATTCCCGACTCTAACCCCTGCTTTTGTGCCATGTGCAAGGGAGACGTCACAATAAAAAAACAGAGTTTAGAGTCAGACGCATCTTGGATTACCCTACTGGGAGGACAATCAGCAAGAATGAGGTAAAACAGATATCATTTCAGTCTATCTAATGCATGGAGATCATTCCTTTGTCTTTGTCTTTTAAAAAAAAATTACATTGCATCATTATCTCTCAAGCTCACCTAAGCTGGAAAGTATTAACTTACTTATGGTAAAATCCCCTATTTTACTACAATGATCAGAGATGAGATGGGAAAATTATTATGATCAATACACAACATCATGTAGCTATGCAAGACAATGACATGCAAAAATTTATCGATGTCTATGATTATTGAAGTATGATACACTGTTTGATTTAAACATAATTTTAACAGTACTCAACATGCTCAAAGGGATTGGATACAAGTTCCAACAACATACACAGTTCTCTCAGGATAACATAGTTATCAAGTTATTGATGAAACATTAATTTATTAAATGTATACTGAAAAGAAAAACAGCATGATAATGTCCTGATTTTTTAACACTTACTAGAAAATAACTGTCAGCTCCAAGTTATTATCAAGGTCAGTAATTGTGAATTATCGTTCCTGATTCTTAATATGTTAAAAATACGTTGATTGGTTGACTTTCGAGAAATATCCAATGGATGAAGGCGTAAGACAGGGAAGGTTGTTGGAGACTCTTTGTGGTTTCCTTAAACAGAAGAGTCCAGTAAATTGTGGAAGATGTCAAGAAATTTATTTTCAAAAGATTTTATACAAGTAATTTATGATCAGAAGTATTTTTTGTAGATATACAAGTGATTGTTTTCTTGTGATATAACAATAATCATTTGAATCTTCGATTTAGAATTTGCATGTTTACATAATTTTCCCGAATTGCCTCTATAATTTCTCCAGCGTTTCCTCTATCATATGTCATTGTGTTGTCAATAAATTAATTGAATTATATGCTTTATATCTAGGTTTTATGTCATTTCAATAATGCCAAATATTTCTTAAGAAAATTTTTACAAAAGAAAGTATACCCAAACATTTAGCTTGAACAAACTTGAAACAATTGCACAAGTTAGAAGTAGGATACTAATCTGTTTAGTGTGTTCAAGTAATTTTTAATCATTTACATTGCAAATCTCACACATTGACTCAGAACACCTTTAACATTGTGGGTTCCACATTTGGTTATTTTTATATAGATAATTTCGTTTTTTTAAATTGTTAAGATGACAGGTTCCCGTCTTTGTATTTCTTTAAAATCTACCAAAAATATTTAATATATTTATTTTATGATTCTGATCATTCCTAAACTGTTTAAAATTTCTGTTAGAAAAACAGGGACTGAAAAAGCCCATTGCCCAATGCCTGAGGCAAGAGAATTTTAGGGGTGGTCAATTTTTATTGTCCAAGACCTGATGTCAAGTGACCTGTTTTCTTGATTTAAATATCTTAGTTTTACAACTACAGTCAAACTTGTCTTAGCGGCCACCCGAAATCAACGGCCACTTGCAGTCAGCGGCCACTTTACCCGAGAATTTACTGCCCAAAATTGATTTTTATCATATATATTTTAACTGGAAAACAAATAAACGGCCATCCTGTGTAATGCGGCCAGCGGCCAGGTAAATCCTCCCCCAACAGCCTTATTGACACTGTAATAGGCGGCCATTTCGTCACTTGTTGCGATTCTATCATCTTTTAAATGTTTTGGCTTGGGTAAATATATCCTCGATAGTCAATTAAACCTATTAAGGCAAGTAAAGAAATTGCTTTTAGATACGCTGAACTCGGTTTGTGTTTATGATAAAAAAAATATTTTTCCTGTTAGATCAATTTGTAATTATTTTTCAAGATCGCCGATTGAAAAATCAAAAGAATTTTATTACTGTACAATTGATACTTTCCTCTAGCTAAAGAAATTCACACCTTTTAGATTTTGTTTCCATGTAGAAGCCCTAATTGCTACTCTTGTAAAAACAAAGTGCTTCATATGGCATGATTATCTCGTGAATTTCACTATCAAGTCTGAGAGGATCGATAGGGATTAGTCACGCTCTACTGCATTTGACACCTGTGTTATGGAATGATTTTCAACTGCGTAAATATATATCTCTGGTCAACTGGTTAATTTTATTTGTGTGTCTGTGTATTTTATATAGAAATTCTGACAGCTAAACAATAAAATTAATCAATCTTTATTAACTTCAGCAAGTAAGTTAATTACCAATGTTGATTAAGTTGGGGGGGGGGTCACTACTGACTATCTTTTTAACATATGTAAGTGAAATTTTTATTGACATATTTTACTTAAATTGCTATGATTTATTTTATTAACCATTAAACTATTTTTGTGTATTTTTTCTTTATAAAAAGGATAATAGTCAGGCACTGTATGTATTTCTTCAAATGAAAATTAAAAATTTTTTTTTCAATAATTCAATGTAACAACAGCACACTTATGAATGCTAGATGTTTAACTAATATGTAGGAACAGAAACACGCACAAAACCTTAAACATTTCGAATTCTTTAATATTCTTTTTAAATGAGCTTTAATTATTATATATACACATAAAAAGCTTTTGTGAAAGTGAACTGTTTAATTATGATTAATTAATTAAATTGTAGTGCTAGATGTTGTTTATTTATTGACCAAATGTCCTTTTCGAGGGCAAACTGGAATAAGAGACCAGTTATAAACATATAGGAAGCGGGGGGTATCATTTAGTGAGCTCATCGCTCACAGTACCTCTAGTTGATTTAAATATCTTAGTTTTACAACTATAGTCAAAGGATTTTCATGATCATATTGACTTTCCACTTTATGAAGTAGATAATTAATTTCTGATGAGGCCATTGATAATTGAGGTAGGGTGAGTGAATTTTGACTGTGCACTTGCCTTTGGGCAATTAAGGGATTAAAAATCTATTTGTCAGCCCTTGGAAATATATTTGCACTAAAAGTTGAGAATTTTATAGATTACACCATTCTCTGATATCTGGAATATATTTTTGGTCATATACTTCAATTCATTAAATTGTTGCGAAAAATTACATCACATGTCATCTGATGTAAAAGCCATGTATGGTAAAGTTTTGTGAAGTTGAAGTTCAGTTAATTGCATATCAAAAAGATCTTTCTATTTGTTTGTTTGTTTTTTGTTTTTTTTTAATAATATTTTGATTAAGATAGGACTTTTCTGTAAATTGCACAACTTAAAATCATTAAATCAATAGCATTTCAAAGATATTCGAAATTTAAAACAATAATCGATTCATAGACAGACTCTACAAAAATAACTGGAATTAGGTTTAAAGTCAATTGAACTATAGAAACATGAAATTATTAAAGTTCAAAATCAGTAAAAAATATAATTTTCATATTTTTAGCTCACCTGAGCCGAAGGCTCAAGTGAGCTTTTCTGATCAAAATTTGTCCGTTGTCTGTCGTTGTCGTCGTTGTCGTCGTCGTTGTTGTCGTTAACTTTTCACATTTTCATCTTCTTCTCAAGAACCACTGGGCCAATTTCAACCAAACTTGGCACAAAGTATCCTTGGGTAAAGGGGATTCAAGTTTGTTCAAATGAAGGGCCACGCCCTTTTCCAAGGGGAGATAATCATGAATTTGTTAAAAATTAATGGCATTTTTAAAAAATCTTTTCTCCAGAACCTCTGGGCCAGGAAAGATGAAACTCATGTGGAATCATCCCCAGGTAGTGTAGATTCAAGTTTATTCAAATCATGACCCCTGGGGCAAGGGTGGGGCCAAAAAACCCAAGTTTTACATAGGAATATATAGGAAAAATCTTTAAAAATCTTCTTCTCCAGAACCACTAGGACAAAGATGAAACTCATGTGGAAGCATCCTCAGGTAGTGTAGATTCAAGTTTGTTAAAATAATGACCCCAGGGGCAAGGATGGGGCCAAAATGGCCGACCCAAGTTTTACATAGGAATATATAAGAAAAATCTTTAAAAATCTTCTTCTCCAGAACCACTGGGCTAGGAAAGATGAAACTCATGTGGAATCATCCTCAGGTAGTGTAGATTCAAGTTTGTTCAAATCATGACCCCCGGGGCAAGGGTGGGGCCAAAATGGCCGACCCAAGTTTTACATAGGAATATATAGGAAAAATCTTTAAAAATCTTTTCCAAAACCATTGGGCCAGGAAAGATGTAACTCATGTGGAAGCATCCTCGGGTAGTGTAGATTCAAGTTTGTTCAAATCATGACTCCCGGGGCAAGGGTGGGGCCAAAATGGCCGACCCAAGTTTTACATAGGAATATATAGGAAAAATCTTTAAAAATCTTCTTCTCCAGAACCACTGGGCCAGGAAAGATGAAACTCATGTGGAATCATCGTTAGGTAGTGTAGATTCAAGTTTGTTCAAAGCATGACCCCCGGGGCAAGGATGGGGCCAAAATGGCCGACCCAAGTTTTACATAGGAATATATAGGAAATATCTTTAAAAATCCTTCTCAATTACCACTGGGCCAGGAAAGATGAAACTGATAGGGAAGCCATCCTCAGGTAGTGTAGACAAAAATATGACCCCCGGCCCTGGGGATAGGGTGG